CTTTTTTAGTCCTGCAATCACGTCACCTCAGAAACTGCGCAGTTGCTTGCTGGTGGTTGCCGTGACGGCGTATGCTCCGTTGCCATTTTCGCTTCTGCATCCATTGATGTGTATGGCGGGTATTACTGTACCATGGATGCGACTGGTTGACAAGTGGATTGCTGTACCAGGAACTGGGCAGTGTCAGAGTTACCACACACAAACCTAGAGGCGGCTGGGAAACAAGACAGTCGTGTAGTCGTAAAAAGAAAACGGAGTGAAACGACTGACCAAGAAAGACAGACATTGTAATGTTCTTATTCCTCTATGAATAAAACATCAAGAATTGCTCCTGCTGCTAGCTTCAGCTAGCTGTTTATTATTCTTTCTACCACAATAACTTTCTTCTTCTATTCTGTATATCTTATTGATTACAGAGCGCCCCCTGTGGGTAGCTTCAACAATAGCAACTATCATTACATCCCCTTTCCAAACAGGTTGGTGTTATACTAACCACAATTCCAAAGTGAACTGTTACTCGGTAACATCTGAACATTCTTGTCTAACATTCAACATGTTATAAATTGTGCAACAAGCTACATTCAGTAGTATTCTTTTTTTTTTTTATATAACCAAAAATTGTAGCACAAGTCAAACAAAATAAATCCAAATGTATACCTTACATCTTCCAGAATGAACCAAATGAATCCCATACAGCCCTCAAGCACATTAGAACTCTTCACCTTTGACAGCTTGAACAGTCAATAACACATAACTCAGCAGGTATCAATTAAGTGTGAACAATTACTATTCTAAATGAATTATTATCCGTTATTTACTTGTGATTTATTATTATTATTTTTTAACAATTCTTTACCACAACAGTTCACACTTGTTCTATGAGCCTCTCTGTAGGTTTCTTAGGTCTGGTAGACCTTCTCAGTATCTCAGACATTGGGGAAGGTGAAGGAGGCTCACTGTGGTGCTCAACAGGGTTAGCACCTCGTTGTTCAGTTCCAGTCTCTGTGTCCTGATGTTTAACATCCTGTGTCTTTAACAGACTTCTCCGGTTTCTTCTTAACACTTGTCCATTCTCTGTCTGAACAGCAAACGATCTGGGCCCTACTTCGCTGAGAACTGTTGCTTTTTTGTCCCAGAAATCTGGACCTGCAATCCTCACAACATCTCTTTCCTGAAGCGGTTCCAGACGCCTTGCAGTTTTGTCATAGTTCCCTTTCTGTCTGTGCTTGAGTTTCATTCTTTTGTCGGTCAGCTTGTTGTCATGTGCATTGTCATTTTCCTTGGAAATGTGTGGAAGTGTGGTGCGGAGCTTGCGATGCATGAGTAGCTCAGCAGGTGATGCCCCACACTCCAGGGATGAAGCTCTGTAGCTTAGCAGAGCCAGGTAAGGGTCGGTCTTACTGTCTCTTGCTTTTTTGAACAATCTCTTTACTATTTGGACTCCTTTTTCTGCCTGTCCATTCGCTTGGGGATACAAGGGACTAGAGGTGATATGTTGAAATCCATATTGTTTTGCAAAGTCACTAAATTCTCTACAGTCATATTGTGGACCATTGTCACTGATGACACACTGTGGAATTCCATGTCTGGCAAAAAAGCCCTTCATGTGTGTGATGACTGACTGTGCTGATGTACTGGAAAGCTGTGCCACTTCTGGATAATTAGAATAGTAGTCAATCACCAAAACATAGTCCTTGCCATCCAGATGAAATAAATCCGTGCCTACCTTTTGCCATGGTGCAGTGGGTAGGTCTGCTGCCAGCATTGGCTCTTTTGTTTGTTTGTAGTGATGTTTGAGACATGTTTCACATTTCTGTATCATCTCTTCAATATCCCTGTTGATGCCTGGCCAGTAAACTGCTTCTCTCGCTCTCCTTTTACATTTCTCCACTCCAAGATGTCCTTCATGGATACGCTGAAGCATGTCTTTCCGCATGGATTGCGGTATGACAATCTGGTTTTGTCTCAGCACCAGCCCATTAGCCATGCATAAATCAGCTCGCACAGAGTAGAACCCTGGACAGACTCCTTTTGACCACCCATTCTGTATAAGGTGGGATACTTTCTGCAGCACTGGATCTTTTGTCGTCTCCTGTACAATTTGCTGCAACATGACATCTGATGCTGGGAGTGAGGCAGTTACCATGTTTACATGTGTTTCAGCCTCCTCGGCTGTAGCGCTGACTAACCTGTCACCACTTGGTGCTGGCGCTCGGGATAAAGCATCCGCAAGTACGATATATTTCCCAGGCGTGTAGATCAGCTCAAAATCATAGCGCTGCAACACCATCATCATGCGCTGAATTCTGGGTGACATGTCGTTGAGGTTCTTTTTTCTGATCGAGATGAGAGGTTTGTGATCAGTCTCTGCTGTAAAGGTTGGTAATCCATATACATAGCTGTGAAATTTTCCACACCCAAACACTAAGCCCAAAGTCTCTTTTTCAATTTGAGCATAGCGTTGTTCAGTTTCTGTCATAGATCTGGACGCATATGCTACAGGTTGCCACTTGTCTTTGTTCCTTTGGAGCAGAACTGCTCCCAAGCCATCTTTTGAGGCATCTGTTGAAATTTTTGTTGGCTTTGATGGATCAAAGAATGTCAAGACCGGCTCTGTAGTTACAGTTTCCTTCAATTTTTTCCACTCTTTCTCATGCCGGGCCGTCCACTCGAACACTGTGTTGTGCTGTAGCAGCTCCCTTAGGCATGCTGTCGTGGAGGTAAGATTAGGAATGAACTTACCCAGAAAGTTGATCATCCCCATTGCTCGCAAGACACCTTTTTTGTCAGTGGGTGCTGGCATATCCAATATGGCTTGTACCTTTGACTGATCAGGTTCCACCCCTTCACTTGTAACCTTATCTCCCAGGAAGGTCATCTCTGAAACACCAAAGAGGCACTTGTCTCTATTCAGTTTAAGTCCATTCTTGTTAACTCTCCACAAAAGTTTCTCCAGCCTTTCATCATGTTGTTGCCTTGTATTTCCCCAGACTACGAGGTCATCTATGTAGACTCTGGTGCCTTCCAGCCCTTCGATCAGGGACTCCATTGCCCTGTGGAAGATCTCTGGTGCTGATTTAATTCCAAATGGGAGCCTCAGGAAACAGTAACGCCCAAATGGCGTGTTAAAGGTAGTGTACCTGCTGCTTTCTGGGTCTAGCCTCAGCTGCCAAAATCCATGTGATGATTCCAGTTTGCTAAAAAACGTATCTCCTGCCATTTCACTCATTATTTCCTCTCTCTTAGGGATCTGATAATGCTCTCTTTTAATATTTTCATTTAGATCTTTGGGATCAAGGCAGACTCTTAAGGCACCTGTATTCTTTTTCTTGACACAAGTGATAGAGTTCACCCAGTCTGTGGGCTCTTCCACTCGTTCAATGACACCCATTTGAGTCATTCTTTCAAGGTCTTTTTTCAAACTTGTCCGTAATGGAGCAGGCACTCTCCTTGGGGCATGCACCACAGGCACGGCATCATCCTTGAGCTGGATTTTGTAGGTGTAAGGCAATGTTCCATGTCCTTTGAAGACTGAAGGAAATTTACTGATAATGTCTGAACTTCCTTCATGCCCTTGGTGTTCCAGTCTTTTGTCTTGTTTGGCTTCTTTCATGGCGTCAGTATTAATCTGATAGATCCTCTTTACTAGTCCCAAGTCCTCAGATGTTTTATCTCCTAAAAGTGACTCGTGTCCATCAGGCACGATGGTGAACAAAATGTTATGCTGTTTGCCTTTTGTTGTCACTTTAAGTCTGCATCCTCCTTTTGTTTGTATTGGCTGGTTATTGTAGGCCCTCAGCGGCGTGACTTTCTCTGTAAATCTTCTAGGCTTCTCAGTCAGTGCCTTGAAATCCTTCTCGTTGATCAAGTTAGCTTTGGCCCCTGTGTCAATTTTAAATGTTACCAATGTCCCATTGACTAACAGTGGAGCAGTCCATTTATCATCTGTGACTGAACTAACACTTTGGCCAGTGTTATGTCTTGAAGACTGTGCATTGACATCTTCTTCATGTGACACCATCTTAATGAAAAATGTTTCACTTAGATCATCACTGTCATCTGTGTCTTCCTGCACAGTGTGTACTTTTTGTCCCTTGTTTTTGGAGAGACACATTTTTGCATAATGGTTTTGTCCTTTACATTTTGCACATTTTTTCCATATGCGGGACATTGTTTTGGTCTGTGTTTCTCTCCACATCTCTTGCAAGTGAACATTTCATTGTCACACGTTCTGTTTTTGTTGTCGTTGTTTTTGAATTTACTCCATGGCTTTCTTTTAATCGACACTGCATTCACTGCCTCATTTTCCTGTTGCGCTGCTCCTTGAACAGGCTCTCTAAACGTCAGTACATGTTGTCGTGCTAGCTCACTGGCTTGACTTATCTTTATAGCACTTTCCAGCGTTAGTTCTGTTTCTCTCAACAGTTTCTCTCGGAGCTTCTTCTCATTAGTTCCAAACACTATTTGATCTCGTATCATAGAGTCTCTGAGATCACCAAAATTGCAGGACTGAGCTTTGATCTTGAGGTCTGTGAGAAAAGTATCAAATGACTCACCCTGATGCTGTAAGCGTGAGCGAAAGACGTATCTCTCGTATGTTTCATTTTTCTTTGACAGACAGTGCTCGTCAAATTTCTTCATGACTTCATCAAAGTTATCTTTGTCCTCGGGCTGAGCAAACACAAAAGTGTTGAAGACCTCTATTGCTTCTGTGCCGGCGATGGTGAGCAGCATGGCTATTTTCCTTTCATCTGCCCGTCGATCCACTCCGACAGCTGCAATATACAGTTTGAACTGCTGTTTGAAAGTCCTCCAACTTGCATCCACGTTTCCAGTCAGTTTCAACGGACTTGGCGGTTTTATTGCATCCATCTTGTTGCGTTGCTTCTTATTCTTAACCCCACTCCTGGTACCATGTAATGTTCTTATTCCTCTATGAATAAAACATCAAGAATTGCTCCTGGTGCTAGCTTCAGCTAGCTGTTTATTATTCTTTCTACCACGATCACTTTCTTCTTCTATTCTGTATATCTCATTGATTACAGAGCGCCCCCTGTGGGTAGCTTCAACAATAGCAACTATCATTACAGACATTAGACAAAGAAAACATTACAAAATCTGTTCTTCACCTGTGTGATACAGGAGGCCTTGTGCTCCTCTGTCTCCTTGAAAGCCAGTAGAGTGATGCAGGTCCGAAGATCAGAACTGATGTTGCCTCGCTTGTGAAACAGTACCCTCACCCTGAACCTCTCCTGACCTCTCTTATCCCGCTCTATTTCCACGCTCTCTGAGAGAAGGGAGGCAGATAGAGGGGGAGAGGCAGGGAGGACGGACTCTGATAAAAGCTGTGGATGAAAAAAAATACAGATGAATCTGTGGGGGTTTTCAGTTACATCTCCATCTCTTATCATCTTTTCTCCTCTGCTTACCTGTGTCACAGAGTGAGGGCCAAATGAAGCCCTGAGGCCGGGCTTGGTAGCCCACCCTGTCGGAGGCAGCATGAACATACTCTGAGAAAAGGCAAAAGGGCTAAAGTTGGAGAAAAGAGGGCCCAGCTCTGCTTGGGACAGAGGGAGAAACTGCCAAGAAGGGGGGGTGACTGACATCTGGACTGGCAGGGAGAGAGGAAAAGGAGGCTGCAGGAGGGATGGAGGGACTGAGTCAGTAAAAAAAGAGAAGAGGCAGGTGTAAAGGACATGTTACTATCACAAGGTCATAAATGTCAGAGTTGCTGAGATTCGCATTAACTGCCTTCCTTTCTGTTATATTTGGGCAAGGCATCAACCCATACTTTGTCCAAAGAACCCTAACACACCAACAGCACTGTGGTATCAGAGTGCTTGATTAGTTGGACGGCCTTTGTTGATGGCAGGCATTCGCTGTGACATTGTTTCAGGAAGCTTATGCTGTTTTACATTTGCCTCTGTCCAGAGCGTAAAGTCGTCTACATCTCACAGATTCTTAGTGGGGTTAAATTCTGGACTCTATGATGGCCAGTCCATGTGTGGTAATGTCAGCGCATGCCTTGTCAAATCTAAAATGAACATAAATTCAAATGTATCAAAGTAAAGCAGTCTCTCTCCTTTTATCTCCAACGTCATCCATTACATTGCTGCCATATTGACGCCATTCACAGACCATCCATGGAATCCACATTTTTAATTCAATTCCTTTTTATTTGTATAGTGCATAATCACAACAACAGTCACCTCAAGGTGCTTTATATTGTAAGTGTCATGGTCGCCGTGTCTGCCCGGCTGACCCAGGTTGGCTACATATGTTTCTTGTTTTCCTTTCCCTCTCTCTAATAATCACACACCTGTGGCTCATCGCTTCACCAGCGTCCACTACTTAAGGCAGTGGCTGGAAACATCTCATCACTGGACTATTGAGTAACCTTGGTAGTAAGCTCCAGAGGGCTAGTTTCTAGTTGTCTTTTCGCGTTGTTGTTTCGTTAGATTAACCGCTTGTTTCCTGTGAATGGGAATCTCTTTCCCTTGGAGCCCTGGATGTGCTAAGTTGCTGGTGTGCTGTGTTTCTGGAACTGTGTGAAGATTCCCTTGTGTGTGAAGAGCCCCCTTTTTTTTAGCTTCCTTATCTGCGCTTGAGTCCATGCCAGCTCGTGACAGTAAGGTAGTCCCTACAATAATACATACAGAGAAAAACCCAACAATCATATGACCCCCTATGACCAGCACTTTGGTGACAGTGGGAAGGAAAAACTCCCTTTTAACAGGAAGAAACCTCCAGCAGAACCAGGCTCAGGGAGGGGCGGGGCCATCTGCTGTAACTGGTTGGGGTGAGAAAAGGAAGAAGCAGTCTTACAGCATTTGAGGAAGCACTTTCTCCCTCTCCCTTATCTTTCCTGCTTGGCTTCTCATGTCTTTGTATAATCTTGCTTACTCACTAACCCTAAGACAGTCTCCCAAACGTGTTCTCTAAAAATGTAAAGAAGAATTGTGGATTTGATCAACTGGTCCCTTAATGAAACTGACAACTCCTGGGCTTGGGAGAGCCCGATTGTCCTGCGGAGACGTTTGCTGCCGGATACTCGATGGTCGGTTGCATTGTGTGTCTGGCGACACTCTCGATGGAGGACATTGAACGACATCTACCAATTCAGAATCACGATAACAGAGTTCTGGCTGATTGGAGCCGGCTTGGACCTGGCTTATCGAAGAACAAGAAACGGCTACAGCTGTTCAAAATCCCACAAGGCTGGCCGACATGATAGACGATGGGCAGGGATGTGAGTACTCAGACTGTTTTTGAATGCAATATGGAGAAGATCTTGGAGAAGCTCAGGGCTCTGTTATATGGATAACATCTTGAAGAAGAAGAACAGGAATTGAGAGACCTGGTGACCAGTGATGGACATTAGACCAACTGTAAAATTGGAAGCAGTTTGTTCGCACTCAACAAAACAACTACCATCTTCATCTCATGCAGGCCCCCTGGCGCCAGGTGGATGCTCAAGGCAAAAGCTGACGGGAATAACAAAACTCTCCCGCAACATCTCTAAAATTAGAAATATCCTGTCTCAGAGTGACGCTGAAAAACTAGTTCATGCATTTATTACTTCCAGGCTGGACGACTGTAATTCATTATTATCAGGAAGTCCTAAAAACTCCCTGAAAAGCCTTCAGCTGATCCAAAATGCTGCAGCAAGAGTCCTGACAGGGACTAGAAAGAGAGAGCAGATTTCTCCTGTTTTGGCTTCCCTTCATTGGCTTCAAAATCCTGCTCCTCACATACAAGGTCTTAAATAATCAGGCCCCATCTTCTCTTAATGACCTTGTAGTACCATGTCACCCTATTAGAGCACTTCGCTCTCGCTCTGCAGGCCTACTTGTTGTTCCTAGAGTATTTAAAAGTAGAATGGGAGGCAGATCCTTCAGTTTTCAGGCCCCTCTTCTGTGGAACCAGCTTCCAGTTTGGATTCAGGAGACAGACACTATCTCTACTTTCAAGATCAGGCTTCAAACTTTCCTTTTTGCTAAAGCATATAGTTAGGGCTGGACCAGGTGATCCTGAATCCTCCCTTAGTTATGCTGCAATAGACGTAGGCTGCCGGGGGATTCCCATGATGCATTGAGTTTTTCCTTTCCAGTCACCTTTCTCACTCACTATGTATTAACAGACCTCTCTGCATTGAATCATATCTGTTATTAATCTCTGTCTCTCTTCCACAGCATGTCTTTATCCTGTCTTTCTTCTCTCACCCCAACCAATCACAGCAGATGGCCCCGCCCCTCCCTGAGCCTGGTTCTGCCGGAGGTTTCTTCCTGTTAAAAGGGAGTTTTTCCTTCCCACTGTCACCAAAGTGCTGCTCATAGGGGGTCATATGATTGTTGGGTTTTTTTCTCTGTATCTATGAAGCGCCTTGAGGCGACTTTTGTTGTGATTTGGCGCTATATAAATAAAATTGAATTGAATTGAATTGAATTGAATTGAATCCCTTAGATAATAAGACTGTTGTGATTCTCTCCCCCCTCATTCAAGGACCGAAGTTTGTTGACTTTTGCTTGACAAATGTAGCTACAATCATACAAGTGCAAAGATTTCTGTTTATTTCTATAATAGCAGCTATTAAATATTTTCACAGTAATTTAGGCGTCTTAAACACTCACAGGTGACATCTTTGGTATAAGGTGAACATAGATAATGATCTGAGAGAATGAAAGTATGACAACAATAACAACAGGTGAGCAGCTGTGATACACAGTAATACACAATAATGACTCACCTGTGATGGAAATCCAAAGCAGCAGCAGCTCTCCTGTTCGTCCCCACCACACAGTGACACAGCTGACACCTTCCATCACTGCAGGTCTCCTGCAGCACAGTGAAGCCAATACGAAACTTTCAAACCTCATCCATACTCAGCTGGCAGATAATCGGCTCGTCCTCCCCCACAGGGTGAGTGGACGGGCTTCAACCACTCGTACAATCAAGCCCACTTCATAACCTTATGAAGAAGGTTATGTTATCACCATGTTGTCTCAACTGACAGTCACAGGATTGCATACACACAGGTATGAATATAATGGCTTTGATAGGCCTTTTAATGATTTCTCAAGCTGTTCGTTTTCCAGGGTGGAACGATTATACAGTTTTTTTTCTGTCTGCATAACTGTGATAAATTAGTTATGCAAATATCATATGTCATATCAAATATGTACATACAATTATTCAGTCTTTTACTATCTCGTGCTGAAAGTAAAGTTTTTCACTGTCGTGGAACTTCAAGGCAAAGGCCGGTTAACTTCTTCTTGGTGACCATTAATATAAACCACGCCTGTAGGCCCTGTTCTTTTGTTTCAGGTGAGGCTCATCCACAGTTCCCAGGCCTCTTGTTTCCTTTGCGTCTCTCACTGAGAGAGAAAAAACTGGACAGGATCCTACTCAGGTTTGACCTCTGCTACAGTTACAGCCTTCTAGCCCAAAACTCATCCTAGGATTTATCTATCTGCTCACACTGTAGGACGAATTGTCTTCAGGTGTATTTCCTCAGCTCGGTCTACGTATTCTGTCTCCGTGTTTACACTTGGCTTCAACCTACCTGCTTGATTAGGCAGGCATAATTAAGCCTTAATGAACTGTCATAGTAACAGTACTACAGTACACCCATGTTAGGAAGGTGAAGGTGGATATCCTCCTGCTTTGGGATAAAAAATATTTAGTTTTGACAAAAACTGTACTTGTATGTCTGAAATGAAACAAAACAATCCTTTTCTATTGTTTTTACAGTGAAGTCAGTTTTGCGCATCTAACCCTGTAGCTGCCTGCGAGGCTGCTACAGGGTTCATGTTAACTGATCAATAGGGTGCAAATGATTGATGGCAGAAGCTGCCAATCCAGTGCTATAAAAGTTCATTTCTGGATTTGCAAATGAGGGATAGACACATAGACACAGAGCACCTGGCACTTTAGTGCTGAAAGGAATGTCTTCTGCGGAGAAGCTGGCATCCCAGTGGTAGAAAACCTGCTTCTCCATTTTGCAAATGAGAACCTGACATCCTGATATCAGGAAGTTTGCTGCTGCATATGGCAAATGGTAAAATCCTTTTGTATTATTCATTTATTAACAGACTAACAATTCATTTTGAAATTCTGATCTATAATAAATGTTTATATTTTACATTAAATGATAAAATAATAAATATCTTTAGTAATTTCTAAATAAAATAATTTTAAAATGAATTTGTAAATTAGTTAAATTATTGCATATTTGACTGCACAACTCATTAATGAAGCACAAAATTCTTTATTTTGATGCACATGACCCCTCTGGTCCTGCATATGTGCGGTGATTGTGTTCGTGAATACCGTTTCACATGTGACATCCTTACCCTTAAAGAATAAACCTTAATACACGCTGAATGAAAGATTTGATGTGCTGATCCATAATAGCAGAACAGAATTGCAGCATTAACAGAAATTAGGACAGGACCCCTCTGGAGTCTAGATGATGATGGTGGTTGGATTGTGCTCTGGGTGAACAGGTTAAGGGGAGATGGGGAGGAGGAAGGCTGCATGCTGATTGGCTCAATGAAGGTGTAAAAGAAAATGACAGCGCTAGAGAAAGAACGTCAGCATTGAGTTCGACAGTGTGGGAAAGTGGAAGTAATATAAACTTTAAATTCAATTAAATTTTATTTTCACAGCTTCAAATCACAACAACAGTCACCTCAAAGCGCTTTATATTGTAAGGTAGACCCTACAATAATACATCTGGAGAAAACCAAACAATCATATGAGTCCCTGTGAGCAAAGACAGGAAGAAACCTCCGGCAGAACCAGGCTCAGTGAGGGACGGGGTCATCTGCTGCGACCAGTTGGGGTGAGAATAGACTAGCAACTAAACACTCAGGAAAGCAGACAGTTCAGTTATATTTGATTTAGAAGCACCAGATCACGAACACAGTTGCTTCATAATGTAAAGGCCAAGGAGTGATCACAGATCTTCCTTTTTATGCATAAGCTTTATATACATTATCTACAATTATGAATATTTAATGTAATGACCGCTGTGATGGATATGATAGACATCATCCGTCCTCTTAGTCTGAAGAGCATTTTTTTTTTTTTTTTTTTTTTTGGCCTGTCCCGTTTGGCTCTTTTGCATCAGAATTGTTGTCTAAAGGCAAAGAAAGATGCCCAACGGATTTACTTTACCAAATTGACCATCCCAGCCTTGCCGTAATGGTCCATTTGATTCACCTTTTATTGTTTATTTTATTTTCACTTACTGAATACGGGACAGACTTGACTGGAGGAAAGAAGGGGAGAAAGAAAGAGGGAAAGAGAAACAGCTGAGAAGAGGGACGGGGGAGAAGGGCAAAAGACAAAAACCAACAGAATGAGCAGAAAAAAAAAATGCATATATCGATCACCTGGATCACCTGCTGAGAAAGAAAAAAGAAAACAAGCAGAAGAGAACAAGAGTAATAGAATAAACAACATCACAATGATATATGGGAATATGACAGTAAATACTAAATATTAAACATTATTGTGCAGCACATAAGATCAACAGAACACAGTGTGCTTTGAGGTAGGAGCCAAAAAGGGTGTAGTTTGTGGGTGTGATCACCCGTGTGTACACCTGTGAGCATGGACGCGCTTGTTTTTAAACGGTTCCTTCATGTAATGATCTGCTAGAGGGTGTGGGGGGGCCACAGCCCCGTCCTCCAGGGCATGAAGCAGGTATGGAGGAGATCAAAACTCCAGACATCCAGAGGCCCCCAGAACACAAGAGACCAAGGAAGACCAACAGAGGGGCAGCCGTGCCACTGTCCCAGTAAGAGCTGAGGAGAGTCCCAGATGAGAGCTCACTCAGCAGCCGCGGAGCAGAAACCAGGGGGAGTTGCAGTGACGCGCCCGTGAGCTCCGCCGGCAGCCAGCTGCGCCTGAGTGACCGAGCCCCAGGCCGGGAGGCCGGGGCACCCCACCTCCAAAGTGGCCCGAGCGAGCCCCAGGCTCCAGGCCCCGATAAGCGGCCGCCAAGGAGTGAGCCGGTGTGTACCTGGACGCCCATCCCCGGACACAAAGAACCACCAACGCACCGACACCTGAGGGAGTCCGCCACTGGCAGGGGAAGTGGTGGTGGGGGGAGATAGACCTCCAAACCTTGGAGGGCCTGAGGTGTCCCCAGAGAGGTGGTGCCTGATACCCAACCTGACATATAGACACAGACATACAGGCACACACAGACACAAACATCCATTCCCCCCCTCATGCTCTCATATGCACTCACTCCACACTCAACCAACGTGGAGACAGACATGAAGAGACGTTGTACACACAATCACACTCCCCAAGCGTACTCTACAAACCGGGTCTAGGTACCCTTGCCCCTGGAGGGGAAACTGCACCCTGAAGAGCATTTGAATCCTGTGAGTGACCTGTAAGGCTACAGGTATTTTTTAAGATCACACAAACAGCTGTAAACAACAAACCTTATGTTTCATGGCGACAGGATGGTAAATGGTAAATGGCCTGTATTTATATAGCGCTTTACTAGTCCCTAAGGACCCCAAAGCGCTTTACATATCCAGTCATCCACCCATTCACACAGACATTCACACACTGGTGATGGCAGCTACATTTTAGTCACAGCCACCCTGGGGCGCACCGACAGAGGCGAGGCTGCCGGACACTGGCGCCACCGGGCCCTCTGACCACCACCAGTAGGCAACGGGTGAAGTGTCTTGCCCAAGGACACAACGACCGAGACTGTCCAAGCCGGGGCTCGAACCGGCAACCTTCCGATTACAAGGCGAACTCCCAACTCTTGAGCCACAATCGGATTTGCACTTCAGGCAACTCGAACTTATTTTTAACGAGCTACAAAATGGCCAAAACAGAGAAAAGAGAAAAGCCTACGCGCCGTCATAGCTCAGCTGGCATGTGCCAGCACAGGATCACAGCCCAAACAACAGAAGGTACAGCTAAATATATCTGTGTGTGTTAGGAAATGTTCTCATTGGTCAGTGTCAGGATCAATGTCTGGACATGGCTCACACAGATGAAACACGCTAAAGTCATCCAGAGCAAACACACAACTGGTTACTCTGTGAGACAAACCTGAACTGAACCTACTCTACAAGCAGAAATTTGATGATTCACACACACACACACACACACACACACACACACACACACACACACACACACACACACACACACACACACACACACACACACAGATATAAAACACTCACCTGCATTTGTCCATTTCAGCTCCAGATTCCAACTGTTTTTTGAGGCATTTTAAAACTTGTTGACGTCACTGATTCCAGTAAAAGAACAAAAATGATTTAAAGCAAGAAAAATCATTAATATGAAAAATAATACTCTCCTTTTTGTCTTTCTTGGTTATCTTTAGTGGTATGCTGCTGCTTTAAGCCCCTCTTACTCGCTCTCATGCGTCCCTCCCTCTCTGCACCAGATTCATCCAATACAGATTTTCTCATTTAATATAGTAAGTAATCTCCTCCACGCTCCTCCCCCCATGCAGTTCTTTATGAGCTCATTGTTTCTTATAGGTTTATCTTCCTACTCTCCTCCCCTCACCCCTTTTTGTGCATCTGTCACTTTTTGTTTTCTCAGACATCTTGGTGATTCTGTGCATCTACAGTATGGTGGATTGTTGGGTAGTAGTAGTAGTAAATGTGACACTCATTACAGTAGCTGCTTATGGTTTAATGGTATGGGTTATGGTGGATTTACAGTTTTTTACAGACGCTAGGACACATTTCTCAATACTTAGGTCACGTTTGCAAAACTCCTCACACAGTGAGCACAACAGAAGTCTATGTGGGCTAAACTGAGGACCAGTTATCATTGTTTTGGCACAAAATGCATTCAATGACTACATCTCTCAAATTTCATGAATTATTTTCTCACTCAGACACAACAACTGCCAAAAATCTTTGTACGGACAGGACACTTTGCATGTGCTTACATACTGTTTTCAAAACTGTTAAACTTATGGCCAAAACAATAACACAATGCAAAACTTGAAAAGACAGCAAAACTCAACAGCAATATTTTATTGAAACATATTTTAAATCTAAAAATGCAGTTTAACCAGCCACAGCTGATTCTCATTGTAGATGAACCTCTACACAGGTGTTACTCCTTCAATTTTTCAACTCCTTCAATTCTGGCAGCCAGAAGATTCTTTCCTAGGTGTGTTGCCCTGGATGACATAAGATGTGATGTGGATGAGAACCTGTGGCCAAATGGAGAAGACCGAGTAGATTAGCATTACTACTGTATGTGTATCAGTGGATGGTGTGTATACAAATTCTTGTATTTTGGGATTACTTAGTGCAAAAAAATAAAAAAATACATAAACAAATATTAACGAATTCTGCATGATGTCTGATTCATTCCAGTAACATATATTGAAATTATAAACAGAGATGTGTCCTTGTTTTACACAAGAAAACACTGTGTAATGCTACATGTTGCTAGTGTTTTTTAGGTCATTGTTTTGTGGGTGACAAAGTGTGTTTGTCGGCTGTCAACCTTTGCTAGTGTTCTGGAAGAATGAGTTTATTTGAGACCTGAATGAAGTGTTTTGGTAGTTGTAGTGCATTTTGAATGTGAAATGAACTGCTTTGCCAAGCTGACGGTCAGTTAGGAGGATTGTGTGAAGAGTTTTGCAAAAGTGACCTAAGTATTGAGACATGTGTCCTAGCGTCTGTAAAAAACTGTAATAATATGGTGATAAAATAGTTCTTAGAAGTTTTCATTGGCATTATTAAAAAGATTTTTTTTTAACTTAAATCCCTGAACAGTGACTCCTGCACCTGCAGGTTTCAGTCTGTGGATGTGAGGTTCAAAGAAGCAGGATGGGAAATCAAGTTATTGGATTTAGTTTGTTCTTATAATTTTGCTTTGGCAGTAAATTCTCTGCCACTGACTAGCTTGTTTTGAAAAGCAAAGACTTGTAAACACAATAAATAAAAAATGTTACCTAAATTTCATTTAGGCCTTTTACAGTTTTTGCTCGTTGCTTGAACACTATAAACCCATGCTTAGACTAAAGTAACACAACTTGAAGCTTTTGTTACCATACCTCAAACACATGTACCCATACCTTAAACAAAAGTGCTGCTTTGCACTCTGGTTGCAATTATGCAACACACTTACTCCTTTATGCAACACACATGGTCCTGCATACTACACTCTATTTCATACATAAGACACTTTGTTCAAAAATGAAATCTCAGGGTGCCATTTGGAAAACACATGTATCCAAAATACAAAACACATCGGGTAATTGCAACCACTCAAATATACACCTGAAGGCACTTACTTGCAAAACTGAACACCAATTAGCCAACCACAAAAAGCCCTCAGTTTAGCCAATTCAAGAACTTTGCAAGCATGGATGGAGGGAGAGCAAGAGGAAGAGGAAGAGGTAGAGGAGGAGGAAGAGGAGGAGGAGGTCAAAGAGGCCATGCACGGACCCATATTTCTGATGATATAAGAGCAACTTTGGTGGACCATGTCATCAACCACGGCCTAACTATGAGGGAAGCTGGGCAGAGAGTCCACCCACATCTAAGCCGCTTCACAGTGGCATCTGTAATAAGAAAATTCCGACTAGAAAACAGGTCTGTCTTCATCTCACTGCCTTCTACTCTACTCAGATGGTTTTATAGTACTGTTCTACAGTTACCATATCAAGTGTGCAGGGTACTGCAGGGTGCTAATGCTCCTTTTGCAGCCAAAGTGGTAGTTTCTGTGAAACATACCATGATTATTTATATTGAAGTACAGTGTTGTACAGTGGATGATACAGTACGTACAGTAAAGTACTGTAAGAAAAATAAGCAAACCGATGACAATATGTGGTTGTATTTCTCTAGAATGACTCGAAGACCTTCTGGGGGAGGACGGCAACGCCTGTTCACACAACGGCAGGAACTTGCTGTTGTGGACCTAGTGAGGGCAGACAATGCCATCCGTCTCCACCAGCTACGACGGAAAATACTTGCAGACAGGCGAGTGTTCAGCAACATAGACCATGTGAGCATCACCACCATCAGACGCATCTTGGGAAAACACAGCATCACCATGAAGCAGCTCTACAGAGTCCCATTTGAGAGGAACAGTGACGGGGTCAAAGGACTTCGAGCTGAATATGTACGGGTACGTGTAACTGTCCCTTACATTTACAATAGAGTATTGGTGAAGTCCAGTAGCAGCTGAATATGTACCATATCAGTACCACATGGATCCATTCTGAGAGCTACACAGGTACCTGTGTGATGGGGTGAGGGTGCTGCATGTGTAGCACTGTAGTACAGTGATATGTTCCCCTTTTTTTCAGAGGATCATGGCCATGGATGGAGCTGCACAGCCTCATGAATACATTTTCATTGATGAAGCTGGATTCGACCTGAGCAAAACAAGACGACGGGGTCGTAATGTAATTGGCCAAAGGGCAATTGTGCACGTCCCAGGGCAGCGCGGGGGAAATATCACATTATGTGCCGCCATATGCCTTCGAGGGCTTCTGCACCATCATGCAATACTAGGTCCATACAATAGCCAACACATACTCACATTTCTAGATCTCCATGATATAGTTGTACAGAACAGAGCAGATCAGCCCAGGTTTGTGGTGATATGGGATCATGTCAGTTTCCATCGGGCTGCTCTGGTCCAGGCCTGGTTCTCCAACCAAAGTCAACTTGAAGTGGTATGCTTGCCCCCTTACTCACCATTTTTAAACCCTATAGAGGAATTTTTTTCGGCTTGGAGATGGCGAGTATATGACCGCCAACTACATGCCTGCATGCCTCTTCTGCAGGCAATGGAACAGGCCTGCGGCGACATTCAGGTGACAGCAATCCATGGATGGTTTTGACATGGAAGAGGATATTTTCCCCGGTGCCCAGCGGGAGAAGACATTGCTTGCGATGTTGATGAGGTCCTGTGGCCAGACCCCAACAGACGGCGGGATCCATGAGCCCACGTATGCACAATTGTCATGATTTTTTGTTTACAGTATAGTGTTTTTTCTATTACTGTATTATGGGTTTTTTTTTTTTTTTTTTTTTTTTTTTGCTTTATCTGAATTCATGGTACTGCAATGTACAATATTGAGTAGGTCTATTTGCTTTTTTGGTTGTTTGCAAATGTGTCTCCTGAAAATATGCCTTCTGAATGAACAATGGAAATCAAAGACTGCAGTGCTTTATATAAAGTAGACTAGTGTGTTCCCCCTGCTCTGTAAGTGTTTGCATATGATGCAAGTATGTGTCATTTTGTCAACAGAGTTACATTTTGACAAAGGAATGTCAGGTTTTGACAGCAGAGTTTAGGTTTTGAGAGTAGAGTTTCAATTTGGTGCAGATGTGAATGGTATATTTCCCAGTGTTGTGTCATGTTTACTTGTGTTTAGGGTTTTGGCACAATGAGCAAAGTTTTGCAAAATGTGTTCAGGCAACGGGCAAAAACTGTAAATACAAAAGAAAAAAAAACATAATTAAGCTCCATATCTGTAACTGTAATTCTGAGCTATTTTTCAATAGACGATAAGCTGTGACACAAGAGCAGGCCAAAGGTAACTGTATACATAAAGCATAAAATGAAATTAAGACAAGTAAGTGTGCTATATTTTTGGTTTTATTCATTTTATGAGCTCTAATAAAATGGACCAAATATGTAATTCATTTGTGATTTTAATTTAACCCTTTAACAGGTTTGTGATTGTAAAATATGTTTTGGTACTCAGATGTTTCGGTTAGTTTTGTTATGCGACAGATGAATCAGAACCACAGTGTCAGTCATTTCTTGGGTTTATGCTGATGATACATCATCACATCCGCCTGACTTCTATCACCTCTCTCAACAAACACAATTACAGACCTGGAACAAAAGTCTGTTTGTAAGAGTGATCATGTCCATTACAGTCTTCCTCGTGTGTGTGTGTGTGTGTGTGTGTGTGTGTGTGTGTGTGCGCGTGTGCGTGTGTGTGTGTGTGTGTGTGTGTGTTTATGTGTGTGTTTATGTGTGTGCGTGTGTGTGTGTATGTGTGTGTGTGTGTGTGTGTGTATGTTTATGTGTGTGTTTATGTGTGTGTATGTGTGTATGTGTGTGTGTGTGTGTGTGTGTGTATGTGTGTGTGTGTGTGTGTGTGTGTGTGTGTGTGTGTGTGTGTGTGTGTGTGTGTGTGGATGCATGTGTGTGTGTGCATGTGTGTGCATGTGTGTCTGTGTGTGTGCGCATGCGTGTGTGTGTGTGTGTCTGTGATAGTAATAGAACAGCAGAAGGGGCTTAGAGAACAATGGATCTGACACTGAGAGAAGAGATTAAAAGCAGAGGGAGGAAAACAAGAGTAATATACCATTAAAATTTCACTGTGCAGACCCACTACTAATATGGTTTGGCAGAAGTGTCC